GCTAGGAATGACATAAGTGACAAAATACTTGGAAGTCAAGAGCAATATGCTAATGATTCAAAATAATGCACAATATCTTTAAGATTTTAAAGCAACTGTGTGAGCTGTAGAGCCAAAAATTTCCAGAGATGAGTTTTTAGGGATGTGCATCAAAATATGTATTTGGGGTGGGGCTGTGGGTGGCAGTCTGGGTACATGCTGGGTGCTCACAGGTCTTCAGGCAGTCAGCTGGAGTTGAGGATGCTCAGCACTTCTTCCCCAAAATGCTACAAAGATGATTGAAGTTTTAACAGGCATGAAACATCTTCCCCACAAACAACCCCTGCAGGCATGGAGAGGTTTTGTTTTCTTTAGGGCAATACTAAACCTGCATAATATATTAATACTAAACCTGCATAATGTATTAGATTTATGCTCTGGAACAACCTTTCATCTGAAGGAAACCATAAGTTTGCATTAGGAGTAGCTAATTAAGCTGACTTCTTCTAGCCTTCATGTCCCTTGAGAGACATCTTTACCACAATTAAAAAAGAGTTATTATAGATGGACAGTTTTCTCTTTTGCAAAATTGGATTATTGAACAAGTTAAAAATGTAATGGACCCTTATAGTCCTTTTGGAGGTGACACTAGAGCTAGATAAAGTTAAACAAAATTTCAGACTTAAAGTAGGGATTTAGCTGTAGCTTTTGTTGTTGAGGCATGGAAGAATATACTTCCCTTACCAGGCTGTAGTTATCAGAGGGCTCACAAGTAAATAAGGCAATTAATTCAAGTATTTAAATGAGATTTAAAACAAGCCTTTAAAATAACTTACCATTTGAGGTCTGACGTTCCCCCCCCCTTCTCACAGCCCCCCAAAATATCCTAGGCTAGCTCAGAGGTAAGCAGCTGTGAGGGGAGGAATATCAGGAGAAGGCAAAGATTTCCAAAAGAGGCTCTTACCCCAATATATGTTGGTTCAGCTCTCTTTATTCTGTGATGTCCATGTGGAGAGTGGGGCAAAAGAGGACGAACAGGAAATGTCAGGGGTCTATATAGACTTTGGACAGGGGGTGCTTCCCTGGTTCTCTTCCAACCCCGTTGGGGCAGGAAGGAGGGGTCCAGGGTTATCTTGATCAGAGTCACAGGGTCCCGGGGAAGGGTAAATAGAGTGCCCATGAGCTCACTGTAACACCGTTCTGATACTTTTTTCTTCTTAAGACATTTATTAATTAGACTTCTATCACATTTTGATTAAAGTTCCTTTAAATTGTTGCACAAGCTACAACTGAGTGGAAGCATTGTTTCAATTGTGTATTTCTCCATTGTGTTTCGTAACTAAAAGATTTTGCCAAAAGCAGAACCTGAGGAAGTAAGATTTTCTAAGAAGAAAGTAAAGAATTCCTTTCTAAAATGGCTACAGTCTTTATCTGTTGTAAAAACCACAAAGTAGATAGTTGCTTCCAATTAGGGATGTATTGCAAAGTGCACTTACTCCTCCTTTTGGTTGTAGCTGACTGCTGGGCAGAGTTGCAGAGTACCTCTTCATTTACTGTCATCTCCAAGTATTCCTAACTTCATTACTTCCCAGCATGGTGTGTGAGCCTCTATTGTCCTCAGGAGCTGATCAGGCTCTCTTTGTATCAGCTTGGTGGCTACTGATGGTCATCCTGAAGCAGAAGAGTTGTTGGTGTCATTATCACTGGCAGCAGTGAGAGGTGATGACCACCACAAACAGTGGAAAGGGGCTGGAAGGACAAGCCGTGGGGTGTAAAATGCTGTGGTCTTGCTGCCTGGGGAGAGCAGAGGTGTAAAGCCCCACAGGCAGGTGAGTGAATTGGGTTTCTCTACATCAGACTGGCATAACACACATTGGTTTGGAATGGAGGGCTTACAGGGTCCTCTTGAGGTTGGATGTGCCCAGCTCCAAGCCCCTTGAAAAGTTCTTGTTATTCCAGCACTGAGCTGTTGATGCTGAGGCAGCTGGAATAAGGATTGCCTTGGAGAAAACCCAGAGGTGCTCAAGTATGGGAATGTCCAGCACAGCACCCAGCCACAGCAGAGACCTTGTGGGGGGAAGTAAAATCTAATGCCTCTCCTAAAATACTTTGAACATAGAAAGTCTTATGAAAATAAACATGAGGGTATTTAGTAATTTCACTTTGCTCTTGCCTTGCAGAAGAAATACTCATGACATATCCTTAATGACTTTTTCTAAATTATTGTGTGCTCTCAACTCTTATTAAATTTTAATGCTGTTTTCTTCCACTAGTTTTGCAATCAGCATAAGAACATAATCCAGATTTTTCTAAAATATAGAATAGAAGAGTAATTGTTATTTCTGGGATTTCAATAAAGGAAGGGTGATTGTTCTTTTCAGGACCCTTTTGTAACCAAGGATGAGGAGCCAGGCACTTACAGGCCTTACGACCTCGGCCAGGAAATGGGAGTGTGGGTGAACAACTCTGATGGTGTGACTCCTGCTCTTGGGCGGGTGAGATTTTAATTTTGTCATGCATTTTGTGTAGTCCTGCTTCAAAAAAATAAAGCAGCAATGTAATAGAAATGGGAAAATAACCAGGATTTACATATGTAACTCCTAGATCTGGCCTCCTGGATATTCCGTGTTTCCTGACTTCACCAACCCCAGGGCAGTGGAATGGTGGACCACGTTGTGTCTGGAGTTTAAGGATGTCCTTGACTACGATGGCATCTGGATTGTATGTCTCATTATATCTGCCCTTCCTTCTTTTTTTAAAAAAAAAAAAAAAAGAAAATTAAGATTTTCACATGTCTTACTCTCTTTATTAAAGGATATGAATGAGCCAGCCAATTTCATGAGAGGCCAGCTACCTGGATGTGCAGATACTGAAATCAATAACCCTCCTTACACTCCTAGTAAGTATAATAGAATAACTTCTTTACCATGAATTATTTATTACTATTACATTAAAATGTTTTTCTATTTTATATAACATATTATATTTTATAGTAATAATAATATTGTAATTTCATTGGGGGTTTTTTTGTTTGTTTCTTTGGTTTTCTTGTTTGTTTTGTTTTAAACCTGAATAGGCTATATTTTAGGGGGAAAAAAATCTATTCTCTCATTTTCCATCCTTCCCTGCCTGTTCTGTATGTTCAGTTAGATATTTGTTCAAGACTCCAGTGGCTCAGCTTTCAAGGAGTATCAGAAACAATCACTTTCCTCTGTCCAAGGTTCTGCTTGTAACATGACTAGAAAAATGACCTTTCCTGCCATCCTCTTAGCAACTGGTCTACATCAGAAAAAGGGCAAGATACCTATATACTATAATTCAGCTACAGACTTGTGAAGTAACCCTTGCCACTGCTAGTCTCAGACATGGGCAGTCTCTGCACTATGACAAGAGAGATGGTGCCTTAGTTCAATGTATTTCCTTTCTCTTAGGAAAGAAATTATCACAGTGTCACTAGAAATGGGCTAAAAATAAGTTTTTAAATACCTAAGCCTATGGGAAACTTACAGGAATGGGAAAATCTCTTCCCGTAGCTGAGTTAATGACAGGCTCATTCCTCCCCAGGAAGCCATGAGTACTGATGATTATTGCCAGTGGTGTGGCAGTTAATCCAGCCAACATTTTCCCAGGAAAGCCCAGCTGCCTGAGCAATGTTAATACGCAGTAGGAAGCTGATACATGAGAGTTGGGGCATTGGCAGTGGAGTATTGGAAATGTCCCCTTTTCCCCTTCATGCTTTTGTACTCATAAGAATTCTAAATTTTCTTTATTAAATGGCAATTCTTTTTCTTTTTTTTACTTTGAATATAAGATTAGCATAAAAAAGCATGACAAAATATTAGAAAGAGATTGTAAATTTTTGAAAGCCGAACCAGAGCTTTTAATGATGATTTTGGTGTTTGCTCTCTTTGTGGGGTAACCACTGCATACTTACCCTGTGGGTCTTGACCAAAGCCCAGGAACTGATGAGAATTTCCACCTTTGCCTTAAATTACCTTCAATTTTGTCAGCCTTCAGAGCTGTATAAAAGATGTGAGACACTGGGTAAATTGGCCAAAAGAGCGGAGCTCCCTTTACATGACAAATAGAGAACTGAGAGTGAACCCATGCAGGGGCTTCTGAGCCATTCAGCTGAGCTTTGTGAAGATTAGCACTGACATCTGAGCCACTAGAAGGGACTCAAATCTAGAGGCCTACATGATGTGTAAGGACACTGAGAGATACTGAAGACAGGTGTGTTTTGAGCCCAGTTTCTCTGACTTGACTCATGTATATATGCACCTGCTTCTGCTTGTGACCCACAGTGTTAGAATGATATAATGGGTTTGTTAATGTGTATTGTATAATTGTATAATGTTATAGATGGGTTTGTGTTAGAAGGGACCTTCACAACCATGTTGTTCCAGCCCCCTAGCATGGGCAGGGACATCAGACCAGGTTTCTTGAAACCCCATCCCTCCTGGCCTTGAACAATTCCAGCATGGGGCATCCACAGCTTCTCTGGGCAGCCTGTTTCAGTGTTTCACCACCCTCACAGGAAAGACTTCCTTCTATCTAATATAAACCTACTCTCTTGAAACCATTACCCTTTGTCCCATCACTCCATGACCTTTTCAAAAGTCCCTCTCCAGGTTTCTTGTAGGTCTCATTTAGGTACGAGAAGGCTGCTTGAAGGTCTTCCCAGAGATTCCCTGGTTTTGGTCTTCCTTCTGCAGCCAGGAGCCCTAGGCATTACATCTCAACATGTAGGGAATCTATCTTGAACCAGTGTTTAAGGGCTTTCTTTTCTATTTCACTTTATAGAATACGTGCCTGTTCTTAGCTGTCCAAGCCCTTGACTTATATGAGAGGTGACCTAAGCTGTTTAGTCCAGTATGACATAAGGACCTCCTCAGGGTTAGCAGAGTTTTGGGAGCTCACTATTGTTTTAAGTGCAAGTCCCAGTTTCAGAGCCTCGGGCTTTTTGTCAATGTAGCCTTCAAGCGCCTTGTCTGAATTTTATAACCATCATTACACGTAACCATGGTTTGATCTTCTGGTT